GGCTCGCTTCGGATGCCTCCACCACGAAGACACGCGCCGGTCTCGGACTGGGCGGCGCATCGGATGAGTCAGCAGCTTCGGACACGGGGCAGCATGCGAAGATCCGGATGACGTGGTTGATTCTAGGCCTTGCATGTATGCGGAAATTCTCGGATTTTGTGCCCTAATCTTCAAAAATTCATATATTTTTCATACGAGCTCCGTTTTTGACGTTCTTTATATGCACACGTAGACGAGATTATACTTTACATCTTTCGTTTAGACTCTGTCAGCTAATTTTGACCTTATTTTTAATATTATTATTTTTAACAGTCCGGGACAGGAAAATCCGTTAAAAATTCATAACTTTTTCATCCGACGTCCGTTTTCGTCTGTCTTTTTACCGTTGTACTACTATTGACGATACCTTCGATTCTCGTTTAGGTTAAGTCTGCTAAAAATCACTCGATATTTATTTCGAGTTTTTAGTTGTATACTACTATACTAAAACTTAGAAAAATCATAACTTCCTCATACGCAGTCAGATTTGGACGTTCTTTTAATGAAAATTCTCGGTTTAACGAATACTACGACTTTCATTTAGATCACTAAAGCTAAAAAGTAGTTTATCGAAAACTCACTTTTTACGCTAAATAGTGTTTGCCGGTTTTGTCGCGGATCTTCGATTGGTCATAACTTCTTCGTTATAACTCGGTTTCGATGAGGTTTTCGCCTAAATGTTTCTAACGAAATTATCTACAACTTTCAATAATAAAATTTTACTTATTTCAAATTTTATATTTTCGTTAAATTTCAATATTTGACATTTGATTGGAATCTCATAAGGCTTCCAATATTTTCCGAGTGATTCTAAACATAGTTTTACTTAATTTATAGTAAAAACTATCTGTTAGAACTCAATGCTCAATATCATATAATATTTCATAATATTATTTATTTTTAAACTACAAAACACGATAACTGAACGTGTATGTTACAGGCTTTAAGGGAAAAAGGTTTAGACCTTATTGGATGATGACAATGTTGGATAAGTGATTAAATCCTTGTTTTGTGTCTTTGAGTCAAAGGGTAAAATAGGAAAACTAATGTTTTAGACTTCTTTCATGAATTATGGTTTTTAGCTCGACATGTGTTAAGCCAATATTAACTAGAAAGATGTATGGGGCTCGTCAATACTTTTCCACGTATATAGAAGTTATGATTGTTTGAAGTTGAAGTGAAATTGGGTGAAACCCCGTTATCATGATGTGAGAAGTAATTCTCACGACGTGAGAGTCCTCACGAGGTTAGAATATATTCTCACAACATGAGAACTGTGCAGCCCAAAGCCCACGAAATTTGTAGGGTTTTCAATGTATTTAAAGGTAAGGATTCATGTTTTAGGGTATTTTATTAGCCTCCATCATATCTAGAACCTCATGGGAGAAACCCCAACCTCCATTTTCAAGATTTGAGCCTCCCCTCTCCTCTTTCATCCATTTTTTGAGTTTTTGGTGGTTTTGGAGCAATGTTTTCATGCAAGATTGATCCTTGAAGCTAGGCAATTGGAGATCTCAACTTTCATCTACCTTCTAGAGCTTTGTAAGTTATAAAGTTCCAAACTTTATTGCATATTCATCATGGATCTAAGTGTATTTGGTGTTTTGGTCCATTTTAATGAGTTTTTAGTGAGAGTTGGGAATAAAGTTTGCAACTTTATTACTCTCCAAGGTCCCAAGAGCATTGTATGTTTCAGATCTGGACTCCAACACTCTTTTGATCAGTTTAAAATGTTTTCTTGGACCTCTTGGACTAGGAAAGTTTTAATCTTTTGCTTTCCCTTTCAGCCATGCAAGTTACCTTGGTCATTTAGGTTATTTTGGGGTATTAAAGTTTAGATGTTGAAAGCTTGATACATTGTTATGGATAAAGTTGGAAACTTTATCCATCTATACATCATGTTGATTCAGATCTGAAGTTTATAGACTTGGACATAAGGGATTAAGTTGAAAAATATGCATTTTTGGACCACTTCAAGACTTAAAGTCTAGATCTTGGTGGTTTGGACCTTCCTAATGGATAACGTTAGAAACTTAATCCATTAAGACCTTGGAAAGGATCATATCTGAGCTTTGGAGCTCTTGAAATCGGAAGAAAATGGATTAAGCTCGTTTGAGCTGTTCAGACTAGTCCTCATGGCGTGGCCTTAGGCTGCCATGGCATATCAATTGGGGAATCAGTGACTATTTTGGCATTTAGTGCCCACGACGTGGCCAAGGAAGGCCACGACGTGGAAAGTTGTTGTTGGGAATTTTGACCTTAGCTTTGACTGTTGAATTTTTGACCAGATTTACTTTTGGTCAAACTTAGGTAGAATTGAATATTTAGCTAAGGATTAGCCTCGTGGTTTTAGGAAGCTTGGGTTAGTTGTGTTGTTTTTGAGGTAGTTGTGGAGCTTCTATTGAGTTGTTCAGGTGAGTTTCTCGTCACTGTACTCGTGGGTCGAAGGTACCAATGTCGTCCCACTAGGTTATGTATCCTGGTATATAGGATGATGCTATGCTGATTATATGTTAGATTGGTAGATATGTATGATTACCTGTACTTGCTAGTTATATGTTTATCTGTTACATATGTCGACATAGTGTGGTTGGGTTGAGGTTGTACTGCTTTGTGCTGTAAGACAACAAACCCGAGGCAATCCAATTAGGAGATTATGGGCCAAAAAGGGTAAGCCAATAGGGAGGTTGTGGACCCAACATGCAATATGTATGGCAATTCAAACGGGAGGTTGTGGGCCAAGGTAATCCAACCGGGAGGTTGTGGACCCATAATGCAATATGTATGGCAATCCAACCGGGAGGTTGTAGGTTAAGGTAATCAAACCAGGAGGTTGTGGACCCAACATGCAATATGTATATTTGTTTGTTTTTGTGTGGTAGTTTGGGCGAACTCACTAAGCTTTGTGCTTACAGTTTGATTTTATGGTTTCAGGTACATCAGATGATCGGGGCAAGGCGAATGCGTGATTGTGCACATCATCCTTGTATATTTCGTTGGCTTATGATTTTGGGATACTCTGATTTACATTATGGCTTTTGGGAAACTATGTTTTGTATGGTTTATGGATTATTAAAGGGTTTTAAAAATGAAAATTTTATTATGGTTTTTTGGATGTTACATTGTGAAGGTGCCAAAAGACATATTCAGTTTTATTATCAAAAATTTATTCGAACCGTCTATCATTTGTTTAAAACTTGTGCACTTCATCCCTTCGGACATAAAAATCTATTTTACCCTTAATAATTTCTTTTTTAAGTTTCTTTTATTTATTTATCATTTTTAAATTAAAAAAAAAAAGAAATAAAAATATCTCCACCAACCCAACCCACCCCCCCTCCCCATTTACCTTTCATTTTCCTATGTTTCCTTTAGCCCCCAACTCTCTTGAAACAAAAATAACGGACTATTGTACCTCTCTCTACTCTGATACCGAATATCTTCCATCTCTCACTACTTCTTCGACGAGAAGACCCGCTGACGACCCTAAAACTCTCGATTCATGAACTACTATGTAAAAAGTAACTTCGTTGTCTCTACTGTCTCTAGATCTGTAATTGGATTTCGACGAGAGAGCCTAATAATGATGAGGTCGTGGTTAACGATTAAAACAAGGGAGAATGGAATCGTACATTGAGATCTAAAAACCCGATTTTTTTTGCTAAACGATGATGGAAATTTGAAAATTTCTAATTTTAGACTCTCAGTGTTGTCGGAGTCACAAAAGGACGGACTCCTCCACACTGTGTGTGGAACTTCGGCATTTACTGAACCATAAATCGTTTGATTGAAAGGCTACGACAAATCGAAGGCGGGCATGTGGAACTTCGACGTTTACTGCGTGCGGAACTCCGACGTACACTGCATGTGGAACTCTGACGTCCACACTCCCTAATCAACGACAATACGTAATTTAGCAAACAAGTTATCTTCATCACCCAACACAACCCTATCCATATCTGTAACGCTTCCTACGATGAGTTCTTTGGCTTGACCTCGAAATTATCATTCATATAACTCTCTGCCGCTACTGCTTCAATGAAGCCACTCCCTCATTTTTCAAAATGGCATCAGATTTAGAAAAGTGAAACACAACAAGAAAAATAAAAAAACAACTGAAGATCTTTTGCCACTTGTTAATACTGTGCTAGAGTACAAATCTTGATTTATTAAAAATTGGTGTGTTAGATCGTCGATTAGGAAGTGTCATTTTAGGGTTTTATAGAAGAGAGAGAAAGAGAGAGATGAAGTGGGGCCATATTTTTTCCTATTTTTTAAATTATTAATAATAATAAATACATTAAATTAATTAGAAAAAAAGTACAAAAAAGACATAACAGTCATTTCATGTATCGTAAGCGTGCAAATTTAAATTAACAAAGGATGAAACATGCAACTTTTAACCAAACAAAGAACGATCTGAGTTAATTTGTGAAAATAGGGACTGAACGTGTCAGCACCTGAACGAGGGTGATTGCATGTAATTTACTCAATAGATTATTTAATTGCAAATAATTACGGTTGGCATTGAAGTTGGCTTTGATCTTTACGTTCGAGTGGTGATGAAGATGAAATAACAAACTTAGATTTTCTTCTTCAAAGAGTGGTTATTACATATTCTAGTGATATCGTGGAGGTGGGACTTATATCTTCTACCGGTGTTTTAGTGGCCTCCTTACATAATGTTAGAGTACATGATATGGTGGGTACAAATGGGTATTTTATTGAGAAAGTTTAGATTGGTTAGTTTGAGTAGCAACCCATCATTGGCTTAAAATATGGATTGATTTAAAGTAATTATTATTACCTTAGCTTCAAACCGACGATATATATTGTATTAAATAAAGAAGAAAGTTTTATATAGACGTAGCGGGTAAACGAGTAATTATTCCTACTATGTTTTTCTAATAAAATTTACTTTCGTTGAAAAAAAAATCCTTTTTAATTAATAATTTCATTATCTCTCTGGAAGGAAAATTTCAATGCAAAAGAACTAACTTACAATATAATCCACCGACACTAAATAAAAACTTACTAAAACGGTTTTAATAAAATACAAAACATATATCATCAAGTACCTCTATATGAAATATAAAACACAACTTCCAACATTTTTTTAAAGAGTATAATTTCCCTGTCACATTTCCTACTTCATTCGAAGTGTCAATCGTTCTTCAAGCATTTTCTGCCCCATATACCTGAATTATTTAAAAATAATAATAATAATAATAAAATAAAATCTTATTAATCTCTAGTATTTGAATATATTTCTATTAAACTAATAATGCATATATATGTATTAAGTATTAACCTTCCAATCATCATCATAGTAGCTTGAGGATTTGTTCCAGGAGAATTCAAAAGTGTTGAACTATCAATTACACGTAGTCCACCAACACCAATGACTTTATAGTTGTGATCAACAACTCTATCAACTTGACATCCTCCATGGTAATGCCAAATACTCATCACAGTGTCAATACAATACTGTTGAAGATCGAATGCAGTATTCACATGTCGAGGTCTCAAATTCAGAGGTAAAGCCACAACCAAAGCAAGTAAATCTTGAACTGATATTAATGGTTCTCTGAATGATGATAATGCTTTCGATTCCAACACCTTTACAATGGTTTCCATCCCTTGAACACATCGTTGGAGGTCTCGAGGGTCTTTAAAGTAATTAAATGTGACTTTAGGATTATCATTGGGATTTATTGTCTCAAGCTCTAGAACACCGGAAGAAAGTGGGCCCATTACCTTTTCAAGGATGAGTCCAGCATCAAATCCTGATGGATCTATGTTGAGTTGATGTCCAATTATAGATCTTAGCCTCTCAAGTTTTGTTGTCTGAAAATATTACAATCAGAACATAAATATTAAGAAAACGATTTTGTTTAAACAAATTAGAAAATATATATATTATATATATATATATATATATATATATATATATATATATATATATATATATATATATATAACGATTTAATCATTACCTAAAATAGTTTAGGTGGTTATATAAAAAAGATAATACAAACCTGGTTAGCAAAATGTCCAAAGTGGGAACTGAATTTATTGAGCAATGGCAAGTTAATATGAGTACTTGCGGTTTCAATAAAGCTTCCGAATCGGGTTATACCCACGATCTCAATGAGTGAAATCTCTACGGGTCGGGGCGTAGGAATGAGTACTAGGTTCATTGGGTTGTCAGATAAGCCCTGTCCAACCATAGGCTGGTCCAATACCACTTTGATCCCATGGGCCATTAAATGTTTAGCAGGCCCAATACCACTTAACATCAACAACTGTGGGCTCCCAAGTGTTCCAGCTGATAATATCACTTCACTCATCAATGACCCTGCGTTTAAATATGCCATGTGCTCTTTCCCTTCCATATCTTTGTATAAAACACCCCGTGCTCTCCTTTCTGTTCCATAAAATATAAAAACATCAATCTATATCGTAACCGAAACTCTTATGGTTGTTTGATATGCTTTTTACTAGGTTTGAAAAGAGACTGGTCTGATCCGATCAATTTCATACCGTCTCATATCACATTTAGAAGTCTCTCACTCTGTCAGATTCATGGCCGAGTCTTAATCAGACTGGATTCATCAACAACTATCAAACAAACCCTCACATGCCAACTCCACAACTACAACTCTAGGATCTTAGTATATTTCTACAACAATGTGCTATGCCGTAGGACAATTTGATACGTAACATGGTCTAAAAAGTATGCATATATAATTAATTTAATATTTTGTATGGCTAGTGACGATTGTATGTAGAAAAAAATATTATGTTGTTTACCATCGGTTTTGAATAATACTCGGTGCACAGTTGCATTCAAGAAGACAGTAATGTTGGTTGGATCAGCATACTCTAACAAATCGGCAGCTGTGTGTCGATTGCCATTCACATCAAAAATGCTACCACCAACTTTAGTTCCATAAATGTGTTCATAAGTAAATCCATTATCCGGCAACACTCCAACCTCCAACAACCCATCTCTCACCGCCGCCTGCCATGCCAACACCTTCGGCTCAAACGCCACCTTCTTCTCCACCCACTCATACGACTCCTTCACCAGTTTCGGGTCGAACCCTGCTTTGTTAACATAATCAGGACTCGCCCTGGTGAAGAAACCGGCGTTCAGGGCAGACCCACCGCCGAGGACGCGAGCCCTCTGGCTGATAACACCGTCGGTGGACACAAAGGTTTGTGAGGCGGAGGTCGGAGTGAGGTCAGCGAGAGTGGTGATAAACCCGTTTATGGTGTTCACGGATGGGATGCCGTATGGTAAGTCCCCTCTTTCAAGGACTAAAACTTTTGCGCCTTGTGAAAGTGTGGCTGCCAATGCGCAACCGGAAGTTCCACCGCCGACTACAATGTAATCGTAGGAAGACACCGCCGGAGCTTTCGTTGCGTCTTTTGCAAATGTGGGATATGGAGCTGTGAAGAAATTCAAGAGTAATTAATTAATGACGATGCTGAGTTAATAACGTACTGAATGAATTCTATTCAATAAGCTTGATGATCAGTTACAAACCTTTTTCGGAAGTGGAAGAAGAAGCAAGAAAGAAGACGACGATTGCAAAGATAAACGGAGATGCATGAGAAATGGCGGTGGACTGCCGTGTGCGGCAGCTCCGATCCATGGTGGATTTGAGAATGAAATGGAGGAGATGATATTAAAAGAGAAGGATTGGTGAGAAAGGATTGACTATTTGAAGTGGATGAACTACCAGCGTTTGTGCGTTTGCAAACACTGCCTTAATTGCTATGACGACACACCATATTTTGTTATAAATTTTGAGTCACAAGTATTTGTACAATAAAATATTAATATTATAATTTTTTTTCTTATGATATCGTTTTCTAGACGATAACAATTTCCTTTGAAAGAGTCTATTTGATTACTTGTTGATAATAATTATTATTCCGTGTTAAGTTTTTTCATTTGGTAGAAGATATTTTAATTAAAAATCTATCATAACGCAAAAAAGTTACATTTTAAGGTTTTGCTTATAAATAGATAGTGACATTTTTGTTAACTTTTTATGTATATATATGTCGATAAGATGTTAAGCATAAATAAAAATCTGACAACTTACTAAACATTAATGATGTACGGTTTACGGATGGTTGGTTTGATGAATGATGTCTTTCAAGAATCAATACAACGAAATTGTCAACAAAATTTTATATTATGAAATTTAAATAAAATTTTAGTTTTGCTTGTCACGTTTACAAGAAATAAGATGGAGTTACAATTTAACTGGAAAGTATACAACGCCGTGACAATAAGAATAATAACAATAATAAACAAAAAAATAAATACACTAAAACTATGAAAATAATAACTATAATATTATAATAGTAAATATGAAATATAAGAGTAAAACTCATTAATATATATATATATATATATATATATATATATATATATATATATATATATATATATAGAGAGAGAGAGAGAGAATGACAATAAAATTAAGTTAAAAGTTAAATTTAGAATTTCACAAAGGGAATTTTGTGTTTTTTTTTAATTTTTTTTTATTAATGATTTCTGTCATTCTAATTAAATATTTAGGAACTGTAATGAATTATTTTTTTATAACGTTTTTGAGGCAAAATTAATGGAATTAGAGTCTGTCAAATTCTAAGAAATTGAATATTTCTAAGGGTTAAAAAACTAAAAGAACTAAATTTTCTTTCTTATTAATATTATTAATATGAATGAAATTTAAATTCTTTTAACCTAATGGTAGAAATGTTTCCAAAAAAAATTATTTAACTTATATCTAAACATGTCATGGATTTTAAACTTGAAATAAATGTTCTAAATAACGTTATGCCTGACTTGACAGTAATGTCAAAACTCAAACTGTTACCAGCCGTGACAAACCACATTATTTGTAAGGCGGCAATTTTTTATATAATATATATATATATATATATATATATATATATATATATATATATATATATATAACTTAAGAAGACATTTTGTTAAAATGTGACATCAAATACAAGCCTTAGAGACATAACCAACTTTTTAGAACTTAGTTGAAATAAGTGATGGAAAGTAATGTATTTTTGTTTATTGAAAGAGTTTATAAACTATGACTTAATCAGTGGTGGATCCAGGATCAATGTAAAGGGTTATCCCGAATAAATAAAGGGGTATCCCCGACAAAAAAAAATCGTGTAATACACAATAAGAAATAAAAATTCCGGAAAAAATTACACTACTAAATTTTTTTTGAGGGGTATCCCGGGCTACCCCGAGATACATAGTAGATCCGCCTATAGGCTTAATAAAATAAAATAAAAATTAGTAGATGAAAATTCTATAATTTCTATATAAAATCAATAAAAAATTTATATGCTATTACATAATTTACATTATAGTTTTTTGAACCTACTTGCAAAAGAAATATAACAAAAAAGAATTATAGTATGAGTTATTCTAATTAATTTGGATATCGATGCATTTTATTCATTTCAAAAATATTTTGGATGTGTTCGGCACGTAGTTTTTGGAAGCTTTTAGTTTTTAGCTTTTAAGAAAATCATTAAAAAAATGTTTCGTTCGACAGTTGGAGTTTTCTAGTTTTAGCTTAAACAAAAAAATCCAAATCCAAAAGGTATTTCAATTAGCTTTAACAAAAAACTCATTTATATTTTTGCAAATTGATTTAGTTATCATTTTCTAAAATGGAACTAGACAATATAACTCCTTTAATAAGCATAAATTAACAAAACAATTTTTTTTATAAAAAAAAAGATGTCATTTTATATAATTTAAATGTTTTAAAAATTTTCAATTATTTTTACCGAAAATTTATATACAAAAAAAAAAAAAAACAAACTACCGTTTCCAGCTTTTAATTATCAGTTATCAGCTATCAGTTAGTAATTAGTAGCTACTAGGTAGTTTTGTCCACCACACCTCAAACTTCTCTTAACTTTCCTTTGTTTGAGTGGAATTCATTAGATTCCAATCAAATTCAAGCCTCTTAAAAAATGAAACCAAACACTATATGAGAGACGATAATGTGGTCAATTTGGAGTCTTAATTGAATTTTAATAGATTCAAGCGAACAAACTCCTCCTAAAAATGAAATTGCGTTTTCTAACTTGTAAGACGAATTGTTTAAAAGATTATAATATATTCATTGTTTAAAAGATTATAATATATTTTGCAATATTATAATAATATTAATTCCAACCACTCAAAACCCATCTCTACAAGCTTATGCTATCCATTTTGTAACTTGTAAGACGAATTGTAAAGATGAGACTTTTTTTGGCCAAGAAGCAGGACTCATGTTTGACATGTATCTATCACATAAAAGATAGGGCTGTAAGCCTTTAACCTTCTATGGATGCTTATGCCGACACATCTTGCAATTTGAAAACCAAACCATAAAACAAAAATACGAGTTCATATATGAATGAATCAATTCATATTTTTCATTATAATTCTTTTCAGAAAATATAAACTGAATTAAACCCGTTTTGTCAACTATAATTAAACAAAAAAAGTTTGAATTTCATTTTGCAATGTTTAGAGAAATCAAGATCATGTTAGACATATAGAAAATTATGAAAATCCTTATCATTATCTTTTTTCGGAAATTCAACTTATGACGTGTTTGACACGGAACGTTTGACAAAACGCTATGTTTTGAAAAAAAGTTTTGTTTGACACTACACGTTTTTAGTGTTTAGTTTAAACAAAACGTTCAACATCTAAAAAGTATCTCACGTAGCCTTTAACACAACGTTGTCCGCTACCCGCTATGAACACGCCCTTAAACTAATTTCTCTTTTAGGTCACTTGGTGAGAAATTTTACGATTAAAATCAAAAGAGACAAAATATTTTTCTATAATTTTTTATTATACTCAGAATTTGAGTCATCAAGAGCAAATTAATTTGACAAAATGTGTGAATTTGTTTTCTATCAAAATCCAAGTTGTTGGATATTTTTTGGAATTTTTAAAAGTGGGTGATATTTTTGGTTTGAGATTTTTAATGAATTATTAGATGCATTGAAATTGCTAGATCTTGATGTGAATGATGTAAGGGTGAGGTTATGATAATGATATTAATATGAAAGAAAAACACCAATGGGTTAACAAACAACTACTTGGAAATTAATCGTTGAGCTATATATGTCATGTGTTTGTCATAGTTTTAACCTTACTATTAGTGATAAGTCACTTTCTTTTGTTAAAGTTGTGTTGTTTTTTGGTGTTGTACGATGCATATATACATTGTTTTCTAGTTCTACTAAAGGATATAAAGTATTGCTAGATAATGTTTCAACTTTAAGTGTCAAAACAATTAGATGTCAAGCTATTCAGATATGATTAGCTTTGATAGAATTCACTAGATCATGTGATAACCCAAAATAAAAAAGTGAAGCTAAAAATTTAGTTAGTGTTATCGATAGTTTTGAATTTTTACTTGTTATGAAATTTTATTTGCTATTAATATGGTAAATAAAATACTTCAATCTAAATCTATTTGTCTTGATGCCACTATTAACCAATTACATAATATAATGACACTTTTTAAGAATTTTAGAAATAAAGGGATTGCTTCAAGTATAAATATTGCTAAAACTATTGCATTTAATATGGATGTTGAACCTACAAATCGATTAAGACGTCGTGTTATTATAAATTTTTTTTTGATAAACTAATCACGAACTAGGAATACAATAATCGAAAAACAATTTAAGGCTTATTACTTTTATGTTGTTGTGGATATGACGATTGTTTCATTAAATACTAGATTTGAAAAATTAATAAATTTTGAATGTATTTTTGGAATTTTATACAAATCAAGAAATTAAAGTCATTAGATAAAAATGAATTTACAAAACGATATATAAAGTTTGCAACTACTTTTAATAATGACAATGTGTCTAATGCGGATTCAAATGATCTTTTTGACGAATTAAAAATGTTGCAAATAACTTTATCTAATAATATAGAGGTTGCGGTTGAATTTTGAAATTTGTTAAACTGATAATTGTTTATTGCATATAAAATTTTATTAACCATTCATATAACAGTAGCATTTACAAAGATAAGTTTTTTCAAAATTAAAGTTATTGAATAATTATTTAAGATCGTTGGTGTCATAAGAAAAGTTGAAGGGTTTGATTATTGTGTGTATAGAGAAAAATATGTTAGACAATATTGATCTTTATAATATTATTAATGATTTTGCATCTCAAAAAACTAGAAGATATATATATATATATATAGATATATATATATATATATTATATATATATCTATATATATATATATTTAAATTAATAATGTTTATAATGGTGTGGTTATATGTATGACCTTGATATTATTATCAATAAAAACAGTTCTGTCAAAGAAGCTAATAAAATAAATTTTTTTTTAATTATTGGATTATTATATAAAAAAATAACGATATTTGTGTCTTTGAGTAATTAAATAACGACTACCAACCCATATGGAATACAATTTACTTAGCAAGAACATTTTCCACCTGAATAAACTGTAAAAATCTTTTTGAAAAATTAAATATCTTCATATTTTTTTGTTCTTATTTATGTTTAAATTCCTATAAACGTGGAATCCATTAATTTTCTCTCTCTCTCTCTCGCTCTATATATATATATATATAGATATATATATTATAGATATATATTATCTATATATATATATATATATATATATATATACTAGGCGAATCCCCGCACGTTGCGCGAGAATAGAATTATATAGT